CATGATCGTTTCCAAAGTCGGATAGTGGACGTGGTATATTCCCAAACGTTTAGCCGGCATCTTAGCCGGCATCGACAGTGAGTCTTGCCATTCTCAGCACCACACAACACTCGTCAAAGAGGTAAGTGAAGCCGATCCTTTGACCAAATGTGTGCTAAACAGTTGTGATATCTCCCCTTCTGCCCTGGCCTACTCACATGTCATATATCCTCCTATCACGCCTTCACTGTTACAATTTGTACCGTGCTTATTTCGATCTAGTGTGGTGTGCTCCTTTAGGCGGCATTCGTGAAAACCCTTGACACTCCACGCTGTCGTTCTCACCCCCTTTACCCTTGTGCTGGGAATGTTGATCAGAGTCTGCCATATTGTTGCTCAGTCCTCCTTCCCTAGGTATTATCACAGTCTCTCTCTTACCCCGTAAGATCCGTCTGCTCTCTCCCTGGTTCACGTATTTCACTCGACCCCTGCCACTCTATCTGTGATACTCGAAGCGTTATTTCGCACACCTCGCCTCTGGGAGACTAACTTGAGGCTAAAGTCCCCGAGTAATTATAATGTTCAAGCCATTACTTCATGGACCACGTCTATGGTTAAACAGGCCTAATGTCTGCTTACTAACTCTAGTCCCAGCCGCGGTGGTAAGAACTCCAGCGTGGAGTGTGGAGGGTTTTAATGAATGCCGCTCAAAGGAGCACACCACACTAAATCGAAATAAGCACGGTACAAATTGTAACAGTGAAGGCGTGATAGGAGGATATAGGAAATGTGAATAGGCCAGGGCAGAAGAGGAGATACCACAACTGTTTAGCACATATTTGGTCAAAGGATCGGCTTTAATTGCCTCTTTGACGAGTTGTTGTGTGGTGCTGAGAATGGCTAGACTCACTGACGATGCCGACTACGATGCCGGCGAAACGTTTGGGAATGTACCACGTTCACTGTCCGACTTTGGAAACGAGCATGCATACAATGGACTCCGGACAAGGTCCCTTTAAGTTTTCCCACCAATATGACCAAGTTGCGAAAACAAAGTCAAACAATCTCTATGCAACGAAAGAAGACTGCTATCAAACAAAAGGTCTTCATGCCTTAGCTAGCATATTGTCTGTTCGACCTGGTTTCCACAACTTGGTCGGAGTCTCAGGGAGACCTTGTGGAACGTACCTAGTCCCGTGTCCTCTGCCACAGTATTCGTGATTTTGAGCATTGGAGTACTGGCTGGGTACATTCTCGAGCGTTTTGCCGGCATCGTAGTCGGCATAGTCAGTGCAAGGCGCCATCATAAGCACAGTGTTACAACATATCAAAGTGATAAGTGTGGACAATTCCCTTGACCAATTTTCTGTTCAACCGTTGTGGCCTCACTTCTTGCCCCTATTTTTTGTTCTACATTCTAGTGCCGCATCTCTTTCTCTCCCAACTTACTATGGCCCATTCACTTATTCACACAATTCTGTGCCCTCGTTTCCTCCAATGTCGCCTAATAGTGTGTCGCTACAGGTGTGTTTAGTGATAAGGCCTGCTCATATGATTGTTGGAAACATCAACCATCAGTGCTTCATAACTTTATGCGAAATAGAGTAGATACAGCTATTAACCCAGATCTAACTGAATTATTTTGTCGTGAACGTGGGTCAAAGCAAGGATATAAGAATTGCATTAGTACCCCCCTCTCTTTTGATGATCATTTTTTGCCATGCATTTTCAACGCCATGGACGATTGGCAAAATAGTAGACAAAACCCTCCATAAGGAAAGACGCAAATTTGCTGAAGGTGCCCTGAGGGAGCCCTGGAGACCGCGATGTTGCCTTAGTCACGACGACCAACCTGACACTAAAGCCTGACTAGCGCCATTGTGGCCCAGTCAGAGTCAAGTGGTGCTGTGCAGAGAGACTGACCCCATTCGAGCAGGGCGTTCCGTCCGGTACCATACCGGCGTCCTGAGTGTTGGCGGCTGCACTGCCCCATCCGGCAGCACTGGCTTGACCCGAGACGGCTTCAGCAACCACGGCACCACCGGCCAGACCACCAGCTAGCCGTGTCATCTCAGCGTATACACGGTAATCGGCGGCCGGCCAGACAGGGTCGTAGACGAGAGCGGCGCAGATTCGTCCGGTAGATGCTATCCGGCGTGTCTGAGACTGCACCCAGCCAAGCAGCATTGCCTTCTCATTCCGGTGGTGACACCAAAGGCGGCCACATTCTGCGTCGGCACTGAAAGAATGTAAAAAATAATGGCACCCTCAAAGCTAGGAACAATGAGTCACCTGTATACACTTCATACAGCTATACAACGAGAAATAATAGATTTAAGTAGTACTTACATAATCAATTTGAGCAATTTTTGAGACTCAGTAATTCTTGAATATGAACTTTGTCAGTCTATACAGTTAAGGATGATTTAAGTACTAATAAGTAAGTTTTTCCACAATCCAATGAATATGCCTCAGAATATCCATAGATTCCACTTAGTTTTAGCTTCCATGAGGCTAGTTTCTTCCGGCTGGACTTGAGTTTCTATTTTGCCCAGGTCTTGCTGGCTACTTAAATGGAAAATAAGTAAAGTGGTGAATGGCAATGGCAAATACATGTTTGCTTACTCGACAAGCTTTCTATAAAATTTGGTTTGGATGAGGTCTGGGATGTCACATCCACTCTGTGACTTATTGGCACCTATGTCTGCGGTGCGCTGTAGTGATGCTACGAGCATACTCATGACCCTGTATCGAATCCTGTTTGAGACCAGTTCAGGCGAGGTCAAAATTTCATTCCAGTCTAGCCTGTATGAAAATGGCTGTTTTTTGGTAGATCAGGCTAAATTCAATTTAATAGCATGCTGAGGCCAACTAATCTCTTATTATGAAAAAATCAACTGCCAGTCCTTACGTTAATCAAAGGTATGAAGACCAGGGTGGTGAGGTCGCGGTCTCGTTTCGCTGTAAAGAAGTGGTTTGTCCTCGTTTTCA